AGTTAATTTTGGGGGGTGGTCCCTTTTGATGTGGCTTTTTTAAAAGCCCAAGTGGGCCCAGTTTTTTTTTTTTGGGAATGTTTACCCACGCGGAAATACCCCTCCCCCCCTCCCCCCCAGGGCCTAGGGATTAAGGCAGGGGTTTAAAGGGGTCCCCCCCCCCCCCCCCCCCCCTCCTTCTGTGCCCATTTTTCGTATCTCATGTCCCGCGGGTAAATTGATCCAATGGCATGTGGACATGTAACATGTCGGTCTGGCAGTGAAGAGCTTGTTAGCGGGTCTACCATCTGTGCGAGGGGTGCCTTCTTCCAGCTTGAGAAGATTACAGGGACGCCGGTAAGAGGCATGAGATGGATCAGGCACGTCCGACAGATCACAGAGAAAGGGAGAGATAGACAAAGAGAGAGAGGGAGGGAGAGACACAGATGCAGACGGAGACAGAGGACAGACAGATAGACAGACCGACAGACAGGCAGGCAGGCAGACGCTCGACCTCTGTGCCTAACCTAGTGTATCGGTCTTTTTCTTCATGCGGAAAAGTTACTCAGACGCTATCCCCATCCGGCGAGAGAGAGTAGACAGAGGCGGCACTCGTTGCTTCACCACAATCTGTATTGCTGTGCTCCACTGCTTGTCATCCCGTTTTTTGTCGGCAGCTCACGTTCATGTGTTCAAACCCTTCGCAAAAAAGAGTTGTTTCAAACCTTCATGTATAAATTATCTCTTGATCCATACATTCCTATCCACCTTTTGGTGTTCGTGAACCCTGTCCTGCATCTCTCCGCCTCCCTCAACACACCACTTTCCTCGCACTTGTCGGGGACTAAGCTGTATTCTAACTCCTATACGTTAATTTAGTTCTTTTTCTTGCTATCGTTCCTCTTCTTCCCCTTTTCTTTCCGTCCTGCTTGGTGCTGCTTTCAACGGCAGGGCCGCGTGGCAACGTCGTTCATGAGCCCCAAGCCCGACATGACGGCGGCGGCGATAGCAAGAAGAATCGAGCAGCGCCTGGGCGACCCACGTCCTCCGGGGATGGACGAAGCGTGTTGTTTATCGTGATTCTTAGCTAGGTGACTTTTTTCTTCTCACTGCTACTTTGTACTTTAGGGGCAGGGGGGGTAGGCAGGACCAGGGCATGCCGAGGTACGAGGGAGCCAGCCTCGCGAAAGGCGCGCATATTCGTTTTGCTGTGACAAGCGTCATGCGTGCTGGCTGTTTTTTTTTTCTGCGGTTTGCGACGGACACACATTCGTGTGCCCCAAACTTGGCTTCTGATTTCATCCAGCAAAAAGCACTAGTAAAAAAACAAAAACGCGTCACCCGTTGTTCTCCTTAGGCGACTTGTCAAAAATGAAAAGGCGAGAGAAAAAGCTGTAGTTGATTGTCACTGGAAATAAAAATTACGGTAGTGGAAGGGGCGGGGGCTAAAAAAAGTGAAGAGCTATGCATACAACCCCCCTTTCTAAGTAAAAACAACGGCATGAAGGCAGCAAGACGTTTCGTCAGACACGCAGCAAACAAACACTATTAATAGGTAAATATCGCGGTCGCAAGCAAAAAAAAGAAAAACAGTCGGACCGGCATCACATTGCATGCGCGCGCAACCAATCAACGAGCAGCACAGCTGATATTCGACTGCTGTTAACAACGTGAAAAGAAATTTCTTCAGGGCTGACCGCTACAGATACAATACAAGGACTGTTGTTGCACCACGCTCGCCAAGCTTAAATCAATCGCGTTGCAATCGATCCCCAAAGTCTGCTTGTTTTTGGAAACAGGTATCCAATGGTCTAGACTTGTCCAACAGAACCAGGAAATAAAAGAGTAACAACTGACAACAACAAATATCTCACCACCAAAAATCTCTCCTTGCTACAGATGTCGCGAGCGCTTACTCGCTCGCAACTATCTGATACTTGGAGCCCTTTTGCATTCAGCCGAGAAGAAGGAAGATACCGACAAGCTAGGTCAAAGGCTAAAAAAGGACACCGTCTTTTTATGCCCTGGAACGACCGAACGTATGAACCGACGGAACGAGAGAGAACGTACGTAGCTTCCATGTTTCTCCGTCCGTCCACCCACAAGTCGAGAACCATTTTTCAAAAATTCAAACAGCAGTAGTGTCACTCGACAAACTTGAAGAAAAAAAAAAAAGCCATCGGCGGCCTGCCTCGGACAAGTCTAACCCCTTTTACTAACAATCGCGGAGACAGGACAAAACCCACTCACAAAATTACGCGCTACACATCGTATACTGTACCGGCAAACTGCTTTTTCCCGGTGGCTGGCACGACGCGGTGTTGTGTCAGGTGCGTCACCATCTTTCATTGCAGGAGCCGAACTTTACAGCCCCCTTTACAACAGTGTATAAGTCACCGAGACCGCGTGTTTGTCAGCCGGCCATCATCATCTCAGGTCGATGACGCTGCTAGGCTCTCGGAGGTTTCGGCAAACCGCAAACCGCAAGGAAGAGCGGCTACTCGTTGTCTTGATCGAGCGACAACCACCTCGTGTGAAACTTGATCCAAGGCCGAGCGGGCGGGAAAGACGAAGAAATCCCGACTTGCTCCACGTGCACGTGGGCCCACCACCACCGCCACCACCACCACCACCCCACAAACTCGCAAGAGAGAAATAATCCGTCCTCGCCTGACAAGAGGCGGCGCACGCGCGCACACACACACACACACCGCGGCTACAGGGACCGAGTTTAGCCAATAAACGTCGGCCCCGCTGCTCCTCGACCCAAGCGAAGCCCCCAAACACAAAAAAAGCAACGACAGCAACAAACAAGAGCTAATATGCATAGCTAACATTTTCTCTCTCCCCTAGCCGAGTCTCGCCAACACGCCAGTCGGGTCAGCGCTACACTACTACTCCAACCCTACTACCGTCGTCTACCGCCCGCAGCCTGCGCGCTCGCCGCGGCAGCCGCCGCCGCGGCGGCCACGGCCTCCTGCGACTGCGGCGCCGGTGCCGACCGGGGCCACATGCGAACAACCTTGTCCCACCCGGCCGTGAGGACCGCCGCCCCCGTCCCGGAGAGGCAAGAGATGCCGCCGTTGTTGCTTCCGCTCCCGCTCCCGTTCCCGGCCCCCCGCCCGCCGCCACCGCCCCCCGCCCCCTTGCCCCTGTTGCCGAAGAACCTGCTCTTGAGTTGACCGGTGTCCCAGTCCCATTCGTGGATCGAGGCGTCCTGGGGGGCGGGGGCGGGGGCGGGGGGGGTCAATCCTCGTTACTCATCTATCGCAAGAAAATACAAGATGGGCGGCGAGGCCGCCAAAAACACAATGCCATGCCATGTGCGTACCACCAATAGAGTAGAGAAGAGTACAACACCGAGGCCACCCCCCCCTCCCACATGGCACCGATTGAACAAAAAACTCGAGCACGTGCTAGACAAGAACAGAGACAGGCCCACACCAAAAAAGAAAAAACAGCAACACGATTCCTACTGGACTACGCTCAATGTGACGTGGGCTTCTCAGGAAGTGCATCAACCACGGGCTCGTGCATCGCGCCTCGACACATCAACAGAGCAGGGGAGGTTCACACAAGGCGCCAGAAAATCTTGAGTTCATCGGGAAATACCCTCACGCGCGTTCAATCGACGACATCGGCAAAAAACATCAAAACATTCCCACCACAAAAAAAAATAATTCAACACAAAACACACACACACACGCACACCTCGCTGCACGAATACACGCTCCGGCCGCTAGCCAGCAGGCCAGTCACCCTGTCCTTGTGGCCCCGCAATGTGTAAGACGGTCCCTTCGCCGTAGCTCTCACGTCCCACATCATCACGGTGCCGTCCGCGGAGCCGCTCGCCAACACACTCCGGTTGGCGGGCATTTGCTGAGTGTTCCAAGCGGGGAAGGGGGGGAGGGGGTGGGGATATGGGGGAGCGTACAAATGATTTGCATGCTTAGTTGTTGGACCATGGACCACGCGTCCTCGGTAGGACCGAGCATTGGGGGGGGGGGGGGTACTCATAGTCGTGCATGCCGTAGTCGTTAGACCATTGACCTCCCATCCCTAAAAAACCCGGACGGA